CGGTGCCCCGTGGCACCCCGCTCACCGCAGCAGCAGGTGGAGGTGCTCCTGCTCGTCGTATTTGAGGGAGAAGACGAGGTGGCCCAGGGCGGCGTCCAGGGAGTAGTAGTTGAAGTGCTCCTGCGAGGCAGGAAGAGAGTCCTCAGGGTGGGGGCAACCTCCCACGGGCCGCCGGACCCACTGCCTGGGGGGGCCTTGTGGCACATGTGCCAGCTGGGCACCCATGCCCATGGGACACCCATATCGTGGGGCTCCCATGCCCCTGGAGCACCAATGCCATGCACACCCACACCCACAGGGCCCCTGTGTCCCTGAGCACCCGTGCCCATGGGACAACCTTTTCTTGGGGTTCCCATGCCCTTGGAGCACCTATTCCCACCTAGCACCCAGGCCATGCGCAACCATGCCCATGGGACACCCATGTCATGGGGTTCCCATGCCTTTGGAGCACCCATGCCCATTGGACACCCATGTCACAGGGTTCCCATGGTCCTGAAGCACCCATTCCCATGGAATAACCATGTCATGCACACCCATGCCCGTGGGGCTCCCATATCTCTAAGCACCCACACCCATGGGACCCCCAAGTTCCTGAGCACCCGCGCCCATGGGACACCCATGTCACGGGGTTCCCCTGCCCCTGGAGCACCCATTCCCATGGAGCATCCATGCTATGGGCACCCATGTCCATTGGGCACCCATGCAATGGGCACCCATGTCTATGGACTCCCCCACCCCCACAGAGAGCCAGGCCCAGGGCACCCGTGGGTGCCAGCACTCACTTTGCCCAGGAAATGCTTGCGGTAGATCTTGGCCGTGTGGTTGCACTCGAGCTTGGCGCGAGTGGCGGGTGTTGGCGGGGGGCTGGGGACGGGTGTCCCGCTGAGCTGGTGGTTGGTGCCCTCGATCCAGTAGCCCCCAAATTGCGGCAGCAGGATGAGAGGGAACGGCCCTTCCCGGCCCAGCACCTAGCGCCGGCAGCGGCAGTCGGTGCCTGGGCAGCACCCGTGCCCACCCAGCACCCGC